CAGCAGACCACGAAGATCTGCTGGTGCGGGAACTGCTCGGCAACCAGGAGCCACAACGCCTGTCTCCCGGCTCCGCGCGGCCCGATCCGGCTCCGGGGATGCCTCTGCTGCCTCTCACGCAGGGCACTCTTCCACTCCCTCCCACTCTTTTTCTTTGCTCTTTCCCCTTCTCCTCCCTTGCTGCTCCTCTTCACAGCCCCGTGGAGGTGGAAGCAGCCGAGCTGCCTGTCCTTACACGGGACCTCTCCCTGCCACCCCCCGCACCGCCGGGCACAGCTTTCGCAGCAGCCTTGGAGGAGCAGGATCAGGTGTGCAGGAATGGAACAACCAGTTCCAGTCTTCCAGCAAAGATTTAATCTGCCTCTGGCATATAAACAGCAAATGTTTGTTCAGCTGACCTGCAAACAGGCGACGTGCGTCGCTCCCCACCCCGACGCCCTGTGTTTCTTGCCCTCTGGCAGAGTGGCACAGGGCAGGGGACCAGGGACCACCAGGTCCAGGATGCTGGGGGCACCCTGGGCTTGGTGTCTGGAGCCAGGGATCCCACGCTGCCCGGCTGCTGCTGCATCCCTTCTGCTCCCCGAGCACTGCAGTGTGTGCTGAGCTCCCAGCTCGCAGGCGTGACGCACGCAGGACGTCTAGGGCTGAAGGACGAGCGTGTCCCCCCGGGCAGGCTGCTGCTTGCCGTGGTGAACCTGCAGGCAGGAGGCCCTGAGCATCCCACTGAGATGGGAGAAATCATCCTTGGCTGCTGCAGGTCAGCTCTGCACCCCTGGGGCTCCCCTCGCTGTTCCAGGGGACATTGGGTTCATTACAAGGGGACGTTTTTGCCTATTTTCTGCATGACCAGATCTCGGCAGCAGGGTCAGCTTCCAGCTCAGCCCACATGTGGGCATGCAGAGGGCTGTCTCCAAGCCCTGCCTGCGGCTCAGCCTGCCTCTGAGAAATCCACAGCACAGCTTGTTCCCTGTCCCCATCACAGGTAGAAGATACTCTCTGCTGTTTGATGACCACCATTAGAAAGAAATTTGAAAGGGTACTATGCAGGAACTCACTCTCCCATCATGCAGACACTCTCACCATGCTCCCAGGGGAAGGTGATGCCCCTTGGTGCGGGTGAGTACGGAGCATCCTTCAGCCAGGCACAGCCACTGCCTGGGCATGGGGCTGGTGGGACTGTCCCCAGGGCCACCAGTATTGCAGGCTGCAGCCAGAGCACCCAGGTGTAGCTGGAGTGGGCAGGCAGGTCACCTGAGCGCCTCAATGTCAGCTTGAGGTGGTTTAGCTCCAACGCCTTTAATAGTGTTTGTTTTCCTTTTCTTCTGAGGTGGTTTGAGAGAAGAGGGTCAGTAACGGGGTCAGCATGTACAAGCACACCTATAGGGTTTGGGCAAAAATTCCATCACTGGCCTGGGTTTAAATCCCAAACACGGGAGCTCCAGACTGAGGTCCCGGTAGCTCTGCTCTCTGGGTCCAGGAGGTGCCCACGGAGCGGAGCCACCTCCCTGGGGAGCTGCAGGCACAGCTTATCATCTCCATGGTCTCCTTCTTCCAGGGCACACCGTGCTGCCCCAAGAGGTGTGGGAAGATTCACACACTGTGCTCCTCTGTTCACACAAGGAGCTGTCTTGGGGCACCCACCACCATGTCCAAGGACGACGTGGGCTGCAAGCTGACCTCGGTCTACAAGCACAAGGAGAGGAAACCGAAGAAGCCTCACTACATCCCAAGGCCATGGGGAAAGCCCTACAACTACAAATGCTTCCAGTGCCCCTTTACCTGCATGGAGAAGTCCCATCTTTACAACCACATGAAGTACAGCCTGTGCAAGAATTCCCTGTCCCTCCTCATCGAGTCTGACTGGCCCTACAAGAAGGGCAATCTGCTCCACCCGGAGCTGAGGCTCCTGCACACGACGGAGACCTCCCGCCTGCGCGGGCGGAGGGACGAGCAGGACACCTGTGACTCCTCAGCCACCTCGGGAGGGTCAGTCCAGAACAAGCAGGGCCCTGGCAGGGATGGCCATGAGGACAAGCCGATTACAGGGGTGGAGATCCTGCCTGCTGAAGGGGCTGGTGAAGAAGGTGGCCAGTTCCAGGAGGAGGAGGAAGATGTTGCTGGTCTGCTGAGGGAGATGGACGCAGGGGAGAAGAAAGAGAAAAATGAAGAAGCAGGTTGCCAAGGTGACCCAGCTGAACCAGAAGTGAACACTTTGGTCTTCGGTTTCAAGAATAAGAGGGACAACAAGCCATGCAAGGAGGTGGAGCCTGACTTCATCATCACAGATGTCTTCTCCCTCAAGAACCATGTCATGAAAAGCAGGGAAATGGCCTCCCCAGACCTAGATGCTAAGCCAAAGCATTGCAAAGTGCCAAAGAAATGCCTGGCCAGCAGTGGGATCCTGATGGAGCAGTGGAAGCTGGTGGCAAATGGGCAAAGGAGGAACACACCTGAGGTCTCCCCACCTTGTACCGACAGCAACATAATCCCATGCTACCCTCCTCCAGCCTACAGTGACTACCATGAACCTCAGGGTCTGAACCTCTCACTGCTGGGTATTAACTACCCATTAAACCCCAGCCTCTTCTCCTACCTGAGCCCCACCATGGCCAACAGCACGACAACACACCCACACTTGGCTCAGCTGCCCTTCCTGGCCTCCACAGCCCAGCTGATGCACCCACATGCCTCCCACTTCCAGCCTCTGCAGAGCCCTGAGCGCTCAGCCTTCCTTCCCCGCTTCTACTACCCCCTGCTCTTTGAGCACACTTTTGGCTCCAGCGAAAGCAAGATGACCCCCAGCAAGCCAGAGGCCCAGCAGCTGGTGGGCTCAGTCGTGCCCACGCCACCACAAACCAAACCCCCCAGCGAGCCAACCAAGCCTGGGCTGCTGAAGGTACCTGTTCCGAAGACAGGTTTTCCTTGGTCCAAAGGTGTCCGGGAGGAGACAGGCTCCGAGCTCAGCCACACTGCTATGCTGGGGCAGGAAGAAGAGGAGAAATGGCTGTCCCAGGATAAGGAGAGCAACCCAGCTTTGGGCCTCAACAACTTACGCAAAAAGCCAGCCATGGACATCTACCAAACCATGGTGGGGGTGAAGGACAGCACTCTCACCCACAGCAGTGTCCGCAAGGCAGAGTTACCAGTGGTCACCTGTCTGGAGACCAGCAGCCCTCCAGGAAACCCCTTGAAGAGAAAGTTCCCTGCCAGTGGGATGGATTTGATAGGATCTGAAAGGCTGATGCCTGGAAAACTCAGCTACCAGAGCAGGTAAGGTGTCTGTGTTCTCTTTGCCTCTTCCTCACATCTGGTTGACCTTAAACATCACCTTCATACCCTGATGCATTACTGATTCCCCCACTAAACTGTGAGATGAGCCCGAGGGAGCTGAGCACACCCCAGGCTGGTGGTCCACAGCAGTGCCCACTCAGAGAGGGCTCCCTGCCCTCCAGGTGCATCCAAGCACCTGGGCTGTGTCCCTTGCTTTCCCTGCTTCTACATAAAGCCAGAGGTGATGTGGTGTCTGTGCTCCCCAGGCACCAGGAAAGCTCCTCTTGTGTCCCCAGATATCCCAGGCTTGCTGGAACAATCAGTGCCTATTTTTAAACACACGCATTTGCATTCCTTTGATTCGCCTTCTGGTTTCAAAGCCCAGAAGGAGGGTCACGTTCCCAAACATTTCCTTTTACCTGGGGCTAGAAATGTGCATAGCTCCTTTACAGAATTCCAGTTCCTCCCCTGGTTGTGCGAGTCCAGCTGTGGCTCCAAGAAAAAATGTCACTGTAAACCCCATTGCTTGGACACCCAGAGGAGCTTTCCAAAAGAAGCTCTCCATGGTTTCCTGTCTCCACCTGCCCTTTCCTGGCTCTCAGGCTGGCTGGAGAGATCCCCTCCAACTGGGCCTTCAGAACTGTGGGATGGTCATTTCCATCAGCATTCTCCAGTGCTCTGAGAAGAGGGAGTATCCAGGTTTGGCTACTTGAGGTGGGATCAGCACCATCCCCCCAGGCTAGTCTCTAGGGAGCTCTCTAGGGAGAGCCCTTTGTTGGTGGCTGTCATGAAATAGTATCTGTCAGGGTTCATCCTCCTCCTGCAAGAACCAAGCCAGAAGCAGGTTCAGCCAGGGCTCTGCATGCTGTGACCAAAATCCTTCCTGGAAGGGTCTCATGCTGGCAGCAGCCAGTGGAGGAACCCTGGCTGGATCTGACAATGCTGGCCCTAGATGTGTGCCCAAGAATTTCCCCTCCTGACTGTATCCACTTCTTCTCTGCAGTGGTTCAAGGGCCAACTCTGGCCACATCCCCAAGGCCCTGGACCATTGGCACACAGAGGTCCTCACAGGCCAGTCTGAGGAGCCAGAGAGGGGCAGTGACACTGAAGTCCTTCTCCCTGTGGGTGCTGCCCTGGACCATGGCCTCTGCAAGCCGAGCAGACTCCAAGAGACTTCTGCCACCACGACAGACTCTGAGGCCACAACTGTCCTCATTGAGGACCTGTCCAAAACCCTAGAGGAGTACCAAGAGGTGGAGAAGAAACTGTCTGATCTGGCAAAAGAGGACACCCCTGGTCAAAAAGAGCTGAGGGACCAGCTGATCAAAATCCGAAGGGAGCTCTACCACATCCATCAGGCACTGGAGAAAGCCACCAAACCCCACGAAGGGCCACTGGACCTGTCAGTGAAGAGATCCTCAGAAGGTCTGGAGAAGGTCCAGCAGGCCAAGAAGGAGCCCAGCAACATGACCCTGGGAAGCGAAAAGCTCCACAGCAAAGGCCAAGGGCCCCTCAGCAAATGTCCAGCCCCCGGGGAGGCTGGAGATGGGGAGGGGCTGCCCAACTGCCTCCTCGAGGCTGAGAACAAAACCATCGACCTGCTGATCAAGATGAGCCGTGCCGAGAGCCTCCGAGCGTCCTCCTCCGAGGCTCACCTGGGCGCCGTGATCAAGGCTGAGGTCCTGCCCCTCGCCGTGCCCCTGGAGCTGCGGCACGTCATGGAGCCCTACTACAGCCGAACCACCAAGTGCG